GGGCGGGGCTCACTTGTTCATGAGGTCGAAGCCCTGGTCCGAGAGCAGGGCCCCGAAGCGCTTGCGGAGGTTGTTGTAGGGGTACTCCGTGAAGGTCATCTTCTTGACGGCGGGAAGGTCACTGTAGCCAGGCCAGATTTTCTCACTGGGCGTCCCCAGGTCCTGGAAGAGCAGCGAGGCGGCCAGCTACAGGGAGGCCGCGCGCCCCCGCACCCCCCGCGCCCGGGGGCCAGGCCCACCTTAAAGACTTTGTTGATCTGGTCGATTTCTGACTTCCCGGGGAACAGGGGCTTCTGAGTGAGCAGCTCCCCGAAGATGCAGCCCACTGACCACATGTCCACAGCCGTGGAGTACTCCTGGGGGCGCGCACAGTCAGGACGGTGCCTGCTGGGGCCACCCCCTCCCCGCAGGCACTCACCTTGGCGCCCAGCAGCAGCTCCGGGGCGCGGTACCACAGGGTGACCACCACCGGCGTGTAGGCCTTCAGCGGGGACCCGTACTCCCGGGCCAGCCCGAAGTCCCCCACCTGCAAGGACAGCCGGACTGAGGGCTGAGGGCACGCGCAGGGCGGGGCCGGGGCGCGGGGGCCCACCGTGAGGGTGCCCACCTTGAGGATGCCCGCGTGGCTCAGCAGCAGGTTGGAAGTCTTGAGGTCCCGGTGCAGGATCCAGTTGTCGTGCAGGTGCTTCACGCCGCGCAGCAGCTGGATCATCAGGGTCTTGACCTCCCCTGGACGGCCAGGCCCCCGTCAGGCGCCGCCTTCCCCGGCGCACCCGGCCCCGCCCCCGGCGCGCACCTGGCAGGAAGGGCTGCTTCATGGTCTCCATGAGGCTCTTGAGGTCGTGCTCCACGTAGTTCATCACGATGTAGATCTTGTCCATGTTGCTCCCCACCACGATCTCCTGCAACACGGCAGCGCGGCGTGGCGTGCGTGGCCTGTCCGGCAGGCCGGCCTTTGGGAGGCCAGAGTGGGCTCGCGCGCTCAGGGGTGGAGGACGGCCCCTTACCCTGACGGTGACTATGTTGGGGTGCTGGGCCTTGAGGATGGTGTTGATCTCCCTCAGCGACGTGATGGGGAAGCCTTCCTTCTCCTTCTCCATCTTCAGCCTCTTCAGGGCCACGATTTCATCTGGAAACAGTTCAGGGCCTGACGCCGAGGGCACAGAGCAGCCACCCTGGGGGAGCCCTTGGTTCGCCTGTGCCGGCGTCAGGAGGGGTTGCGGGAGATGGGGTACACCTCCCACGCCCCCCTGCACTCCCCCGGGCCCCCAGTGCTGCTGGGGCACGGCCTGCCGGACTCCTGCTCGGCCGCTGCCCACTCACCAGCCTCCGGCGCCCGAGGCCCGACCCTCTGGCACGCCCTGGCTGCCCCTTCCTGGGGCGGCCACCCCAACTCTACCCACCTGTTTTCTTGTCCTTGGCGCGGTACACCACCCCGTAGGTGCCCTCCTCGATCCTGTTCAGGCACTGGAACTCCTCCACGCTCCGGCAGCCCTGGGGAGGCGTCGGCGGCTGAGGGCCCGGGCGGCCGCGCTGGCTCGGAGGCGCAGCCACACTCCGGGGCCCGGGGCGACTCCCCCCACCCTTCTCACTTCAGTGAGGTGACCCCTGCATTGTAAGATAAAACAGCGGGGGCAGAGACTCGCCCCAGGACCAGAACCCTCTGCGCCAGGCCTGCCAGGTCGCCCGAGGGCACGGAGGCCCAGACAGCGCTGACCCGCAGGGCGCAGCCCAGGGCCCCGCTTGCCTGCAGGCTGGCAGGGGCCAGCCGCCGCCCCAGGCCTGCCAGCAGACTCCGGCCCGGGCCCAGAGCGGGCGCTTGGGGCCGCACACGCACGTGCAGTCCTTCCTCCGCTGGCCTCTGCCCCCAGGAAGCGACGAGGCAAGAGGGGCAGGAGGCAACTGGGCCCTGCCTGCCAGGCGGCCACTGCCCGGCTCCCCGCGGGGCCCCCGAGGACCTCTCGCCTGGGGTCTGGGCGCTGTCCCGCAGAGTGCGGCTCTGCCGGGCGGCCACAGCGCTGGGGAGGCGCACGAGCCACAGGAGGTCTGCGGCTGGGGGCTGACCTGCAGTGCGGGCAGGTACTTGGGCAGCTCTTGTTTGAGCTCGATGGGCGACAGCGCCGGGGAGTCGGGCACGAAGTCTCCTTCGGTCAGCGCACTGCTCTGTGGGGTGCCCTCGCCCACCTCTTCCTCCCCTTCTTCGCTCTCCCCCGAATCGCGGTCAAACCGTGACTCTGGAACTGCAAAGCCGAATCCGCCATGGAGCCAGGAGCCCATCTGCCGCGCAGGCCGCCCCCGCCCCGGAGGGCAGCTGGGCTCGGGGCGGCGAGCCGTGCCCGGCTCCGAGGGGGGAGCTTTGTGGTCTGCTGGAGGCCAGGCCCGCACCGCGCCTGCCCAGGCCCAACTGGACACTTCTCCCAGTGCCCGCGGGAGGGCACTCGGGGAGCACGGGCCGCTGCCAGACACCAGCGGCCGGGGCTCGGGGGTTTCGGGGAGCCAGTGCAGTGCCAGACTCGGGGCCGAGGGTGACAGAGCCTTGGGCACCGCCCGAGGGACGCTCGCGGCAGCTGCCAGGCGAGCCCAGGTGCCGAAGCCCCACCCGAGGGCGGCGGGCGGCGCAGGGCCGGAGCCCTCACCCGTGAGGATGTGGTTCTCGCTCTCTTGCTCTTCCTCCTCGCTCATCTCCTCCTCGCTCACTTCTTCTGCAAGAGAGAGCGGCGCCGGCTCAGCCGAGACCCGCGCGCTGGCCGCCAGGACGAGCGCCCGGGCTTCGTGGGCTCCGACAGCGGCGTGGAGACGCGGGCACCCGAAATGGAGACTTCAGGCCTTTTCCGTGGCTGCTGCAGTGGCCCGGCGGTGCCCCAGGGCCGCCTGCCTGCCCGCCCCGGCCCCTCGCCGGCCCCCTCACCGGCCGACTGTCCGGATGCGTCCTCAGAGTTGCTCCCAGTCTCCTCCTCCTCCTCCTCCTCCTCTTCTTCCTCCTCCTCCTCCTCCTCCGATTCTTCACTGCTGCTCCCCTCCTCCTCCTCCTCCTCCTCCTCTTCCTCCTCCTCCTCTTCCTCCTCCTCGGAGCCGGACCCCGATTCCGCTTTAGGGAGGAGAGGCGGAGTGAGGGGCGGCGCCCGCCTCCCAGGCAGCCCCTGGCGGCGGGCGGCAGGTACCTGACGAGGACGCGGCGGAGCTGCTCTTGCGCTCGCTGCCGCTGACGTCCTGCAGGTCCGACAGCAGGTCTCTCTCCTCCACCTTCTCCTCTTTCACTGTGACACGGACACCCAGGTGGGTCTGGGGAAAGGCTGCGAGCGAGGGGAGACCAGAGCCCCGCACACCAGCTCGCTCCTGCAGCGCCTGGAGCCACGTCCCAAGGGGCCAGAGCCGGCGCCCCCGGGCAGGCGCGGGCACCGGGGGCCTTGGGCCGGGCAGCGCCCCAGCAAGGGAAGGTCCGCGGGCTTCCGGGCTGGCGCCCGGCCACCGCCCCGCGGGGGTGGAAGCAAAACCCCCAGCAAAGGCGCCCCAGCCCTGCGGCCGCCTCACCTGGCTTCCGGCCATCCCCGGGCTCCGGCCTCTCTCGGGGCGGCCGCAGCGGGCTGCGGGCCCAGTGGCCGGCCTTCCCCTTGTCGCCATAGTCCTCCCGCAGGGTCCGGTGGTGGGCCGACACTGCGGGCGCAAGGGACGGGGCTGTGCTGGCGGCTGTGCCCAGGGGCCGTCTGGGCAGGCGTCCATTGGCAGGACAGGCCGCGGGTCCCGCCCCACTGTGCCCCGCCCCACCGTGCCCAGCCCCACCGTGCCAGCCCCACCGTGCCAGCCCCGTGCCCAGCCCCGTGCCCGCTGTGGCCCGGCCGCACCTTCCCTGCGGGCCTCGCGCTCCTTGCGCCGCTCCTCCGCCCGCCGCTCGCGCTCCTTCTGCTCCCGCTGCTCCTTCTGCTGCTCCCGCAGCTTGCGCTCCCGCTCCCGCTTGCGCTCCAGCTGCTCCAGGCGGTCCCTGCGACAGGCACCATTCAGCCCCGGCACCGACGTGGCCGGCGGGGCAGAGGGAGCCTGGCGGCGCGTTCCCGTCCACGCCCACAGCGCGGGGCTGCAGCGCCGCGGACCGCACTGGCCGTCGCCGCGGGACGCGCAGGAGCATGCTGGGACCTGACGCGTTTCTGAGAACTGCTGGGAGTCCCCGGCTACGTCAGAACGCATGCGGGGGTGCGACGACACCCCCCACCTACTGAGGGGGTGCGCGGTCCCCGCGAAACGCCCCGTCGCCCGGCGTGTCTTGGCCCGAGCATGGTGCCTGCCCTACGGCCGGCAAACCCGCCCCCTGCGTGCTCTGGGCTTCCTGGACAGGCCTTCCGGTCACTCTGGGTTGAGTCCACCCTTCTTCTCCTGGTCCCAGCGGCAGCTGCTTCGGCTACTGGCCCCCGACTGGCCCCACGGCACTGTCCGTTCAGGTCAAGGCGCTTCTCTGCCTTGTCTCTCGCCGGGCCGTCAGCTGTTCACGCACGGGTAGCCGAGCTGTCGACACTCGAGGCTTCTGCTGCTGAGGGCCGAGGGCGAGCCCTCCGCCTCCGGCCGGCCCAGACCTGCGCGACCCGCAGGGCACAGCCTGTGGGCACCAGCCGTCAGCCTTGCCAGCGCGGGCGACGCCGGCGTCCACGTCGGTCAGGCTGGCTCGGCAGAGAGCGTTTCCACGTCCTGGCTGGTCTTCGACAGCGGAGCGGGCTGGACTCGAGTGTCCCCGATGCGCCGGCCACCCCCCGCCCTGGGGCTTCGGCGTCACGCCCGCGCTGGCCGGCCGCGAGGCTCACGGCGCCTTCTTCCCTCCGCACCTGCCGCCCTGCGGCGCAGAGCCCCGCGCCCGCACGCTGTCCGCCACCTCCCGGCAGCTGTGGCCCTCAGACGGCGGCTTGGCCGTGTTCTCTCCCCGTCTCCACCTGGGGCCAGTCTGTCCTCGACTTGCTCACGCGCCTCCTGCAGACATGGGAGCGGGTCCCGCTGTCCTGGCTGCCCTCGCCGGGGCTCCGGGCCCCGCGCGCCTGATTACGGCCGAGCGGACGTGCGTTCACGTCTCTTCTTTGTTTTCCCTCCAGCAGGAGCTCCTGTCCGCGTGCAGATTCCAAGGGCTCATCTGGATTCCTGGCACTTTCCACTCATCTTTTCCGGCGTCTGCCTGCGGCTGCTCTCAGGGAGGCGACGCGCACCCCCCCCGTGCTCGTGCTCCTTGGGCGTGAGGCAACGGGCCGATCCAGCGCGGCGGCGCGCGCGTCACCCACAAGTCTCGTCGCGGCGGCGTGTCCGCTTCCCACGGCTCTGGCCAGCCCTGGTCGCCCCGGCCAGCGTCTCCTTACCAGCCGCTACCTGCCCGGGAGCGCCCGGAGCACCCCGCCGGCTGGTGTGCAGGCGGGCGTGCCAGGCCGGGCCTCCCCTCCCGGCAAGGGGCCCTCCTCCGGGGGTGGACTCGCTCGCCGCGTGGGGCCCGCTTTGCCTCTTACCAGATGGCCTTAGCATGGCCCGTGTTTGCCCTGCGTAGGGTTCACCGAGCTTCCCGAGCATGTCGGTAAGTGGTTTCCATCAAGCTCTGGAAGTCGCGCGTCCTCACTGCGCAACGTCTTTCCGGCCTGCCCTCTCCCGCGGGGCTGCACCACACGCCGGGCCGCGGACCCTGCACCCTTCCCGGCTCTTTCCCGCTCCGCCTGTAAGTGCCTTGCTCCCAAACCTGCTAACTCTGACGTCGGTCACCCGAGACGCCGCCTCTGTCGCCGCCTGATTCCCTGACGAGAGGCGGCACCTCCGTAAGTCTTCGTGTATCTCGAGCACTAGACGGCCACCCTGGGCCCCGTCTTCCTCAGCAGCCGCTGTCCATCTGCTGGCTGGCCCCGCAAACTGGGCGCTCGTGGAGCGCGGCCGCTGCTGTCCGCATGCTCGCCTGAAGCGCTCCTGGGCCACGGACCTAAACAGATGCTTCCTCCCAGAAGCTGGAGCCCGCAGCGAGCCCCCGGGTCCTGGTGTCCCGGCTCCGGACCGTCCCAGGCCCGTTTCCGTATTTGCTGCTTTGTGGACAGAGCGTCCGCTGCTCTTCTGCAACGGCGAGAACCCCCATGTCCCGGCCACCCCCACCAGGCGCCTGCAGACCGGCGCACGGCAGACGCTCACTTGCAGCTCGCAGGCCCCGACCCGAGGGGCGGCTCGCCGGGCTGCCCGGCGCGAGACCAACTGCTGGACGCTGGGACTGGGCGATGCGGGAGGCGCGGACGGGCACACGCAGGGTGCACCCGGCCTCCGGAGGGGCAGACTCGGGCTCTTCGACCCTCTCCCCTCTCCGTCCTCGGCGACTAGGGAGGGCCGCGCTCCGTCCTCACCCCCACTGCCCTCCCGCCCCGCCATGTTCGGGCCAGGGGACAGTCCTGGGTGCCCAGTCCCTGGTCACTACCACTCCTGCCGCAGCCCCGCGTGCGGCCCCGCCCCAGCACTGCACCCGCGCCCTCCGTCTGCGGACACTCCTCCCCTTCCGGACGGGGCTTTTGGCTACCGCCACCCCATACCCCGTCACGCCCCTCGGTCACCCAGCCCCACCTCTCTCTCCTGGAATGTTCTCGAGCCATCTCCCGCCTCTTCTGCCTCTCCCACTCCCGGCGGGCTTTATCCTGCTCTTCTCGATGCCGTTTCCGACGCTCGTGCTCTCTCTCTTTCTCTTTCACTCTGGCGTGCTTCCCTGCGAGGAGTCACTAAGCGTCAGGCAACAAAACCTAGCTTCCAAGAACTTAACTTGAAAGTATCCGGTGACGGAATGTGTCATTATTGACTTGTAAAGGGGGAAAAAAAGTAGGCTCAGCGCACACAAACAATGGCAAAAAAAGGGGGGGGGGGAGTTACTGCAGAAAGAAGCTGACGTTTTCTGTAACGAGTACGTGTCGAACAGACGTTGGTTTCATGACTTAACACGGAAGGTGGCTTCACCCTGCAGGCCACACCCTGAACCACATCAGTCAGCCGTGTCTGCAGTGAGGTGGCCCAGGAGGCTCCAGGTTCAGCTCCCCAGCACCCCGGAGACGCTGCTGCTGGCGGGGCGAGAGCAGAGCCGTCCCTGCTCGACCAAACCTGCTTCCCCTGAAGTAAATCAGCCCCGGAAGGGGTGTCCCTGCGCCACCTCGGTCAAGATCTTTGTGCAAATACAAGCCAGAGGTGAAGTGGTGCGGGGAGCAGCACCGGACGGGCAGGCCGCCGCCGTGCTGGGCTCTGCAGCAGGCCACGCTCAGGCCCCAGACCACGCCTGCACACGGCAGGAGAAGGCAGACGCTCCTACCCCCTTCCGCGGAATGGCTGCGGTGCCGACGCTTCTCTTTCCGCTTTTCGTCTTTCCTGTGGTGAGCCTTTTCTTTCCGAGACACTTGCTGGGGCGGCTTGATAGCCAAAGAATCGTCTTCCTCGCCTCTGAAACAAGACAACGGCATCACAGGCAGGCTTGAGCCAGCCATGGCAGGGAGCGCCTGCACATGACTTTCTCCAGGCCAGAAAACGCGGGCTCAGAACGGGGAGAGCTGAATCTGAACCGTCACTGCAGGGACGTTAACCACGAGGCTAAACCCAGAACCCCAGGAGCTGCAGACTCCGGAAACACACCAGAGAAAGTCAGGGTGCCGTGTGGGGTAAAAATGCTTCTCTGAGAAAACTGGAGGCTTGTTACTGCGATAGTCGCCGTCGTTTCTTTAGAATGCATCCGCCTGCACATTTACACGCAGCAGCACACCTCAAGCAAGCTACTACAGAGTGGTACCCAAACTTTAGCTAGCGTCACACTCCAAAAAAACCACTTAGGGGCCTCCCTGTGGCACAGGGCTAACGTCTCGGCGCCGTCAAGCCGTCCCAGCTCCTGCAGCACGAGTCTGACCCCCGCCCCAGGGGGCAACAGCCTCCTCCTGTCTCCCTGCTCCACCAAGAGCACGGGTGTCAGTGGCTCGGCCTATTCTGCTCCCCACTCTGTCTCTGGGGGTTCTGTCACCCCCACCTTGTGTGCATAAATCCATCTTAAAAAAAAAGAAAAGACAGCAAAGAACCAACACAACACTCAGTGCCATCTTCACCCGAGGACACGACAAGCCCTGGGAGGATTCACTCCCACCGCTCGGCCTGAACTTCTAGCGAGTGGCGCAGGCCCCGACGGGGCAGGAAGGAAACGAGATGCCCAAACTGTGGCTCCCTGCCTGGCCCTTGTTCCACAGTCACTTCGGCTTGTTGTGCGAGAGCTCACCGGTCATGAGACTCACAGCACAGGCCCTCGGGGCAGCTATGCGCGTGGTGCTAACCGCCTGCGGGGCCATCGCCAGGGGGACACGCTACTTCGGTCTCCGCCGGCATGCAGAGGCCACGAGAGGGCACTGCGAGCTCTCACCTGTCCTCCATGGAGTCCTCTCTCCTGTAGGGCGAGTTGCGAATCGTGATCTCCATGCGGTGGTCCCTCAGCTCCCCCTCCTCCAGGGAATCCCTCTTGGAGTCCCGGTCATCAGACTAGGAGGCAAAGGGAGCGGTCGCAGGGCCCGCGCTGCCGGGCGACCCGCTCGGGTGAGGCAGGTGGCTCTGGCTGGCGGGGGCAGGATGAGGGCCGGGGGGCCTGGACCCGGGGCGGCTCAAGCCCCGCCTTAGCTGTCTGTCTGGGGCCGGAGCCCACCGGGAGTGGACACGGCAGCGGCCAGGCACGGCCCACGCTGGACACTGGCGCCTGACACTCTGGCCAGTCGGACGGTCGTGGGCTCCCCTGTGCCCCCGGGGAGCGCCAAAGGCCCTCGCGGCGAGGCGGGGGCGGCCCGGGGTGCGGCTTACGCTTTTCAGGCGCTTGGTCTCCGCCTTCTCCTCCTGCTCCTTGCGGCGCTTCTTCTCCTGCAGAATCTCATCTAAGGTCTTCACTTTCCAGGAGTCCTTTTCATCACCCATTTGAGTGGACACTGCGCGGGAGCAGCGGCGGTCAGGGCGCCCCCCGCCCCTGCGGCTCGGACTTCGTCGGCAGCGCCCGCCCAGCCCC